TCAGGATAGATCGCATACACTCCCTCTGAGCAACGATCTATCCCTACCACGCTCCTCATGAGCTCATATAATCACATATCAACGTCCCCCCACTTGGGACACGGGTGGTCGCATACACTCCATCCGAGCAACGATCCAAATTCCCGTCCACGCTCCCCACTGGAGCACGTGAGCCACACAGGCCTCACGTCCACACGCTCCCCATTTGGAGCACGTGAGCCACACAGGCCTCACGTCCACACGCTCCCCATTTGGAGCACGTGAGTGAATCGCATACGCTCCACCGAGCAACGATTCACCGCGTCCACATACTATGCAAGACACTATGCATAACCACACGACACACACAATGCACACGATCCTACGGATCCATTCGTCATAATATGCATACATACACAAGCACACAAAGGGCATCGATCCTACTAATCCAATCACTATACAACAACACATCAATACAATGCTCACAAGGCATATCCGATCCTACTGATCCAATCACTACACAACAACATGTCAATACAATGCTCACAAGGCATATTCGATCCTACTGATCACAACTACCACACAACATATCACGCATTATGCACATAAGGCATACTGATCCTACCGATCCAATCGTCACACCACAACACATAATCACAACGCATATAAAGCGTACCGGTCCTACGGACCCACTTACCACAACACATCACTACAACATACTCAATGCGTAACGATCTTACTGATCCGCATATTTCGCACACTGTGCATACATCTCACATACGCATCCACACATATTCATTCCTAGTCGAAGGATACATAGCCACTTTAGGCATCACAACGTACTTCAGTTCATTCGTTCGTATCAACGAATATTCGAGCACACGCTCCCTACATCACCTTCATGCTCTCAACGGATCCATGATAACCACGTACTCGCTCACGACCAACAAGGGTCTAACCACGCGAGAAACGGAACAGCACAACATAAAAACCATAAAATGATGTCATGCTCGCTGCCATTCGCCTGGCGAAGCTCCGCAGCGAACACTCGTTGGGACTCGCTCGGAGAAACCCATAGTGAAGCCAAATAGAAGCAACAGGCAGCATTCTCTGCCCAGTTCGCCTGGTGAAGCCCGACGAAGGCTCGCCCCCATTCGCCCAGCGAATGCACGCGAATTCTGCAGAAAACAGCTCGCAGCTCAGAGTCGACAACGCACTCCGAGCTCAACCGATTTTATTCCCATGCCAACCCCAACATACCAGAAAGCCATTTAACTACCCGACTATAATATCTAACTCGGTTCCGCTCGGTAATGCTTACATCTACGCAATTACCAACTTCCGGTGTAACTCTGAATTTACCCGGAAACCCCAAATGCTCTCAAACCAATTCCCACAGCCACATGCAACGAAATCGAACACCACAAACACAACCATCACCGAATTATAAACACTAAACCAACATCATAATAACATCAATCTATGGGGATTAGGGATTTTCCCCTTTTCTACCAATTTCATGCATAAACCAATTCGATCGATCAATCCTCCCCCCTTACCTCGAAATGCAGCTTGATGATGATGAAGCTTCAAGAATTCCACACGAATTGACAGCCCAATGAACTCTTGCTCTTGCTTCAGGCCTTGTTCTTCCTCTTCAACCGTGTTTTCTCTTCTTCTCCTTCACAATCGTGTTCTCCTCTTTTCCTTTTTCCCTAAATGCCACAAATGCCCTTAGTTTCAATTAATCCTCATTTTCTTATTTTCTTTTATTTCCACAATTAATTTCCACTAATATTTTTAAATATAATAATAATAAAAATAATATTAATAATAATAGTATCAACACTATTAATCATCATATTATTATTATTATTAATCATAATTAGTCTAATATTATGGACCTTAATTCTTCAAATAAATTCCACGCAACATGCCAAAAATAAAATTCATCCGAAAACTTGAATAATTAAAATGGGCGTTACATATAGCCTTTGTTCAAGACTTTTAATCCATCTACTAGAGTTTGAAATCTTGAGAACATATCCTCAATCATTTCATCCTCTTCCTTTATGAAATATTCATACTTTTGGATTAAAGCCAAAACTTTAGTCTTTTTAACTTTCTCATTTCCTTCATGAGTCATTTTTAAAGAATCAAATATAAACTTAGTAGAGTCTCTATTTGCTATCTTTTCATACTCAAAGTAGGATATATCATTCAACAATATAATTCTGGATCTATAATGATTCTTGTGATCCTTCTTTTGTTGTTCATTCGTTTTTCTTGTTTCAAGCTTAGTACCATCTGCATCCATCCAATCTGTGTAACCATCTAACACTCTATCTTATAGATCATCATCACAATCTATGAAGAAACTTTCGATTCTATCTTTCCAATAGTTGAACTTTTCTCCGTCAAAGATTGGAGCTTTTGCAGAATAATGATCTTTATCATTGTTTGCATGTGTCATTCTGTGTTTCAAAAAAATGGATCTTTATCTGACACGGTTAAGTGTTTGACACAAAGTAGTCAAAAATTAAAACGGAAGCTCTGATGTCAATTGAAGGTGAAAAAAACACAAGAAATGAGAGGTTTGAATTGGGTTTATAGATTTAGAACTTTTGACACCCAAAAACACAAACAACAACTAAGAGATAAAGAAAAATAACACAAGTATTTTTATTCTGGTTCGTCGTTAACGAAGCCACGTCCAGTCCATCCGCCTAAGTGATATCACATTCTCAATAATGACTTAATCCAATAATCAAACTGATTACAAACACTCAAAGACAAACAATCTAAAAGTTTTTGAGAAATTCTGACTATACATTAGTCTCTCAAGAAAAATACAACTCAAAGATTAACTGTCAATGACTTTTTGAGAATTCTGACTAAACTTAGTCTCTCAAAAAAATTAATCAAAGATTAAGATAAACAAGGTTTTAATTTACAACATATTTCTAATCAAACAAATACACAAGTTTAAATCAAATACAAACACTTAAGAAACATATCAAGAAAATGTTCTAACATATTTTAACGTAACTGTTTTCTTTGATTGAATACACTTTTCTTTTTCTTTTACGTAAGAGCGTTTTTGCAACCTTTTGTAGTGTACGTATATACTCTTGGTGCTTTTCTTTTTGTATTATTCCAAGCTTCTAAGATCTCTTTATATAAGAGATAATAGATCTTTTCGAGGGTGAAGTTGAAATTATCCTCAATGTAATAGATGTATGAAGGTCACATCATTATGCAACATTTGCGTGATGCTTGTAGCAGAGAGTTGGTGAGGATGACGAGACGTGAGAAATTTCGTCGGTATATAATACAACGCTTTACATAGAAAATAGATTTGCTTTTATATTTCTGTTACTTCAATCATTCGTTGACTTTTGGATTTGAACTTCTTGTCAGAGGCTTCGTATACAAGTTGATGAAGCTTAAATAGAATTCAGAATGTGTCTTCAGAACTTTGTTAAAATGAGACTTCAGAGTCTATGAAGTTCAGAGTTCTGAAACCTTCAGATGCTTCTATAATCGTAGTTTGTATCAAAGTTTGTCTCGATAGTTCTTTTCAGAAACGTTGACTTGACAAATTAGATGCTGGAATTCCTTGTAAATGCTTTTAATTGATCCTTTGGTTTAAAGTTAGAATCTTTTTTCTATTATTTACACACTTAGCAAAATAATTAGAGTACAAAATTATTCTCTACACTTTATTATCATAAAAACTTAAGATAATTATAGAATCAAACTTGTTCCAACATTAACTTGTTTTGATAAAAGTTGGATCAAGTATATTAGGAGGCATGAAAACAACCAAAGTCCATAAGATAGTTTAGTGATTAGAATTCATTCTTTCAAAATCAACAAATAAGATGTCACATATTCAAACTCGCACTCTTATATCTATATATCATTGCACAACTACCAACTAAATTCGCTTCGGGGACAAAAACACTTATTTAAAGCCCTATAGAAAATAAGGGTGGTGGTTTATTCAATTTGTGTCAAAACTCTCACACAAACACAGCATAACTCATTGGAGTCCCATTTTAAGTCGACGTATTACAAGTACTATATAGTTCATTGTGTTGCTTTGCTCCTTCATTCCTCGCAAATTCATCTCATTCCATAAAAACCAGGTTCTCCTTCTTTCCTTTTTTCCTTGTACGTTGATGTCTTTTCTTGCATATAATCAAATATATATCTTCTTCACTCTTTTATTTATTGTGTTTTCTCATTATTATCTATACTTGTTGTTCCTTTCAAAACCTTAGCATTTAACAATTCTATCACTTGCTCGCTCCTCGAAGGTTAACAAACAAATATTCATTCACTTTTATTCTCTTATCAACAACCAACCCTTAACTTTGTTCAACGTGTGTCATAAATTGGTTACAGTATTGGCCTGTATGCTCAATCTTAATCTTCATGTTGTTCATCCATCAATGTGCTTTTTGTTATATCTTTTTGTTATTGATTGTGTGTTTTTGATAATGAACATGCATATAAGGGGTTTTGATTCTGATCAAAATTCTTCATCTTTATTTTATATGTTTTCTCTTGGTCATTGTATCTGTATTGATTTATGTTGAACCTGTGTCAAAGATACTGTCTTTGGGAAATAAAAGTTGACAATTTTTCGATTTAGGTAACCATGTCGAAGCGACGATTTTCATGTTCTAGGTCGTATTGGCAATTTTTGCAGTCTTAACTTTGTTCTATTTCTGGTTACCTGAAAATTAGAAAACAAAAGGCGAAGGTTGGAAAGTTACAAAACAAAGTATCTGTTCGATAGAGATAGTTGGAATCTAATAGTTTTGAAATCTGAATTCGTTCAATAACTATGATGCTTTAAAAAACCAGCGGCCTTGTAAATATGAACATGGGTAGTGAGTATCAATGTATATTACTTTTAAGCTTTTCGATGATGTTATCTAATCTACATTTCCTCTTAAGCCTTGATTTGAGTTTATAGTTATCAGGTTTTGTATTCTTATATTTCTTGGCAGATGGTGTCCTTTAAGGAGAAGGGTAATGATATTTTCTCCAAACATGCGTCCAATGACGGTCATGATGTGAGTCCTAGAATAGGTCACGAATACCAGGCGGAAATTCCTTCAGTGCTTAAGAAATCAGAGCAGGACTCATTTCAAATGAATCCTGCAGATTCTGAAGCAGTGCATGATAAATCCCTTTCCTTTGAAATTATTTTGGAGGATAATGAACACGAGGAGATGGGATATCATGAAGATAGTGAAAATCATAAGCTGGCCCTTGACAGATCGAGTAGCACCTGGAATGATGCTGATACAAAAAGTTTTATACTTGGTTTGTTTATTTTCGGGAAGAACTTTATTCAGATAGAAAGATTCTTGGAGAACAAAGGGATGGGGGAAATACTTTCTTTTTACTATGGAATGTTTTACAGAACGGATGGATATCGTAGATGGTCGGAGTGCAGGAAGTTAAAAGGAAGAAAATGTATGATTGGAGATAAACTTTTTACTGAGCTGAGGCAACATGAACTATTGTCTCGCTTGAATCCCCACGTCTCTGAAGAATCTCAAGATACTATGTTACAGGTATTCAGCTGTGTCACCTCATTTCCATCTCCTATGTTGTTAATGAACTGCATAAGGATGTTTGAGTTGCCTGATGATTGACTTAGCCTGTATGGCTGCCTGCATTGTGATTGAAATCTGTTTCACTCTCTTGTGTCCCTTTTCTGATATAGTCTTCACTCTCTTGCCAGTTGTAATATTGATCTTTTTACTTGTAATTTTAACTTCCTTCTTGGTGTGCTGTGATATTTCATGAAAATGATAACTTTGTTTAGTAATTGTCTGTCCATTTTTATGGATTTATTATCCATGCAGAAGAATATAATCCATTAGGAATAAGGGACTTCATATCTTTTGAAAATACCTTCCACTTATTAGCTTTAAACGATGTTTAGATTGTTTCTCGTAGTCCATTTGATGTTACAAAGTGAAAGCTTCACTAGTTTATGGGGCATCTTATTTCTGTAATACAACATGCTCTTTGCATTTGATACGTTGGTAATTTTGATGGAATAACCGAGTGAATTATCATTTTATTTGTGACAAATCATGATTATTTTAAACACTATAAATGACTCCAGTTATATATACCATATGTTTCAGTCCTCACTTTTCGTAAATTTATTATACTCAGGTTTCTAAATCTTATGCGGAGGGAAGAACTTCTCTAGAAGAATACATATCTTCTTTGAAGTCCGCTGTTGGACTTCGCGTTCTTGTTGAAGCAGTAGGTATTGGTAATGAGAAGGGAGACCTGACTAGGTTTGGTATGGAACCTGGGAAGAAGAATCGCGCACTTCCAGCGCAAACATGCAAAGATTTGTCTTCTCTTGGACCCAATGAAATAATACAATCTTTGACGGGAGGATTCAGGCTGAGCAAAACCAAAAGTAATGATCTTTTCTGGGAAGCTGTTTGGCCCCGCTTATTGGCAAGAGGTTGGCACTCCGAGCAACCAAAGAATCGAGGCTATCTTACCTCCAAAGATTATCTGGTTTTTCTTATTCCCGGCATTGACAAGTTTTCAAGGAGGAAACTTGTGAAAGGTGATCATTACTTTGATTCTGTTCACGATGTCTTGAGCAAAGTAGTAGCTGAACCGAATATTCTTGTGCTCAAAGAAGAAGAAAAAGCTAAAGTTGCTAGCTGCAATGAGGACAAGCCAGTAAAGGGATCGAATGAAGATGATTTATCTGTTGATCATCGTCAACGTTACCTCAAGCCCCGATGTTCTACCTACAGTAAAGATCATACCAAATTCATGGTTCCTGATACCAGTTTGGTACATCAGGGAAAGCCAATCGATTTAAGGGAATTGAAATCCGTGCCTGTTAATTCAGCGCCTAGAGTTGAGTTAGATCCTGCTGGTAAAAAATATAAAGGGTACAAATATACAAGGAAAGTGAAGCATAAGAAGGATATGTCTGAAAGCATTAAACAAAATTTGACAAAGTTGACAGCTATTGATACCAATAGACTTTCTGATGGAAAACTATTGAAGCTGAAAGTCAAACTGAAACGTCCACCAGTTAAATCAGAAGATGCTTCTACGATGACTAATGGTCTTCTGAGAGAAAGTAACCAAGGCTCTCCAACAGATTATTCACCGAGCATGGCGGAAGCTAATATGTTGATATATGGCAAAAGGAAAATCAATAAAACTGATTGTCTCATGGGTGTATCTAACAGTGGTGCTACCAGTAAAAAAGGCGCATGTGATAATCTTGTTAATGATGCAAACAATATGCTCCAAAGCCAGAAAAATCAAAACACCAGTGTGTTTGATAATATTCCACTTGACAAGATCATAAAGCATCAATTCAACCGGAAAGTAAGATCCGGTGATTCTAATCATGCAGCTGTTCCTATTAAAAGGAGGAGATTGACTGCTTGTGTCAAAGCAGAGAAAAGCCGCATCATTGAAAAAATTTCAGGAGGTTTGGGATCAGAAAAAACAGGATTCTCTCTGTCTTCTAGCTTTCCAGATGCCAACAAAAATTTGTGTGAGCCAGTTGGTCTTCAGCAGAATGAGAGTTCAACTGCTTCTTCAGTGGACAGAAGTGTGGAAGAGAATACTGAGAAGAACATTCTCTATGAAAGTAATCAATGCGGGAGTGTTTCTTGTGTTAAAGTTGAGAAATGTGAATCTTTCACCTTCAACATACCACAGGTTCCGTCAAATTCTGAAAATAACAAAACCTTGGCAATGGCGGCGGAAGGTGAACAAGACCTAAAGGCAAAAGGTCCATGTCTAACTTCTTCTACTCATAAAGTAGTTGAGGAGCTTCTTAGAACCCCTTGCCATGTTGATTCTTTGGAACAGCATCCTGATATAAAACCCAGGAGGCAGAGCACGAGAACTCGACCATTGACAGTTAGAGCATTGGAATGTATAGCAAATGAATTCTTGAATGCTCAAAAGAGACAGAAAAAGAAAGACGGCCAGCTACACAAAGATCCTTTCAATCCTTGTCGCAAGGCTCGTACAAGAGGCAAAACAATGATGAGTCGAAATTGCTTAGATAATGGGAATGCAGTTTTAGTACAAGAGGAAAAGCATTTGAATGGAGACGGCAGTGTTAGTTAAATATTGCACAGTTATTTACAGATTTTTCTTTAAGATAGAATATAGATATACATATAGATAGATTATTATATGAATATGAATTCTTCAATAAAAAAACTCAAAGCAGTTTTATTAAATTTGAATCAGTTATAGACTTACTATATGGTGCCGGATTAGTGAATCATTGGTTGAGTCGCATGAACTTGTTCGTAACTGCAAATGTTATTACGAACATCACAAACTAGATTTTGACGAACACAAATACCTTAATAGAAATAAATGGTTATGGTTTGAGATAAATGAATAACTTAACTAAGACATAAATGTGAATGAATAATTGAGTTATGGTTTGAAAGAAACAAAAAAACGAACAGAAATACAATCCAAGTTAGTGCGAATTTTGAATAACATTGAAGATGCAACTGTTTTATAACAAATTTTGAGTTTCAAAATGAACAATGCAATTAAGCAGGCCAACGATTTGTTACTGATGACAAAATTTCCAAAATATGTATTTGATGAATGTCATTTAAGGAAAATTTTATAATATAGATTTTTGTGTTGGTGGTTATGGGTTATGAGTTCTAATCTTGGCTTGGTTGATTTTTGGAGTTTATTTGTTACTTTAAATAAATGGTAAAAGGGGAGAAAATATTTCTAATTTAACATGTTTGGGTCAAATTTTAGGTGGGAAGAAGAGTGGAGCAAAATCTCTCCAAAATACATTTTATATGAGAGAGAATATGAATTTTATTTTATTTTTTATATTTATTAAAATATTCTCAGTTTTATTTTATTATTTTAAAATTATTTATTTTCTTTTATTTTCCTGTTTATTTTTTGTGTGATTTTTCTCCATTACATCTAATATGAAACAAGTGTAATTATTCATTCAAATTTAAATGGAGAGTACAATCACTTATTTATATATTGATGAAGTTATATGCTAACTAACATGGAGGTGCTTTATATGATAGTTTATCCTCTAATTAACAACTCACTACCATATACTATATTTGGAAAGTTTTACATTTAAGTAACTAATTGTTTTTATAAAGGAAAATGGGATAACTAACTTGTATCACTGTTGTGTGGTAATCTCCCACAAGTTAGATAAAATGATGTGGAAAGGTCGAGGAATAAGATGTTTTGTAAAAAATAATCTACAACTTGATCTTTTGATGGAACCAGTAAGAGTTTGAAAATGCCATTTTGAAGTTTCTCACGAATCAAGTGGCAAACAATTTTAAGGTGTTTGGTTCGTTCATGAAAGACGAAGTTGTCGCAGTATGGATAACACTCAGATTAACGCACCAAAGTGTACGTGGTTTGGTTGGTGAGATAAGCAAATCATTAAGAAGATAGACCAACCATTGAAGTTCACATGCAGCTGCAACTAATGTTCCATATTCTACTTCTGAAGAATACATAGATACATTCATTTTCTTCTTGGTGCGCCATGAAACTAGAAATTTCTCTAAGAAGAAGCATTTGCCAGATATAAATCTTCGTGTGTCAATGTAACCAGCCCAATCAGCATTAAAGAATCATGTAATATGGACTGATGAGTCTCGAGGAAAGAAGAGACCTTGAGATGGAATTTGTTTAAAGGATACAAAAACTCTTGAAGTAGTCTGAAAATGTGTGGTGGAAAGTTTGTTGAGAAATTGTCTTAGTTGTTGTATGATGAAGGTAATATATGGTCTAGTAGTTGTCAAGTATAATAATCGACCAATCAATCTTCTATAACATGTAATATCACTACGCCAGAAATGAGTTTTAGCAGCGCACTCTTTAGCAGCGCTTCTTAAAAAGCGCTGCTAAAGGGTGGGCAAAAAAAAAGAAAAAAATTTCCCACCTAAGACAGCGCTTTTGAAAAAGCGTTGTTAAAGGGGGGCCCCACGAAAGCGCTTTTTAAAAAGCGCTGCTAAAGTGGGACCTAAGAAAGCGCTTTTAAAAAGCGCTGCTAAAGGTGTCCCCCTTTAGCAGCGCTTATTCTATAAAGCGCTGCTATATGGCATTGCTAAGGCAACCTAAGAAAGCGCTTTTAAAAGCGCTGCTAAAGGCATTTAAAAGCGCTGCTAAAGGGGGACCTAGAGGGGGACATAAGAAAGCGCTTTTAAAAAGCGCTGCTAAAGGGGGCTCTTTAGCAGCGCTTTTTCTATAAAGCGCTGCTATATGGCATTGCTAAGGCACCCTAAGAAAGCGCTTTTAAAAGCGCTGCTAAAGGCCTTTAAAAGCGCTGCTATAGGTATTAGTATTATAATTTTTAAATACCCTCCAGAATTTTAAGAGAAACAGAACAGTCGTGTAGCATTCTTTTCTTCTGTCTTTCTCCTCTGGCGAACGAACTTGCCCTATTCAAGTGCCGTCATCCGCCGTCCGACCGTCGCCCGCCTTCCGTTCACCGTCCGTTCTCCGTCCGTTTTCGAGTGCATCCGTCTGTCTGCATTGCATTTCCACCATTGTTAAGGTATGTGACAGTTTCAAGGGATTTTCTTGTTTTTTTTTTCTTTTCACCATTGTTGGTATCTGAAGACATTAAAGGTTTTGAAGGTTTTTGTTAATACTGTTATCTAAATATTGATGGTTTTTCTTTTCACTATTGTTGGTATTTGATGGTTTTTCTAAATATTTGTTTTCACCATTGTTGGTATACTATTGTTTTTGTTGTTGGTATACTATTGTTTTTGTTATCTAAATATTGATGGTATATTGTTTTTGTTGTTGCGTTCAAGTATGATACGTGTATTGTTGTTTTGTATTGAAGGTTTGAGGACATGCATGCAAGTAAATTTTAGTGTTGTTGTTGTGTAGAAATGACTTATTGAAGGTTTAGTGAAGGTTTTATATGTTGATATGTTATTATGTTATTATGATGGATTTCTCAATGTTTATATGATATATATTGTTCCGGTATGGGCCCAACCTCGGCAGGCTCAATACCGCGTGCGGCCCAACAAGCAAATCGAGCACGCCGAGCACGTGCGTCCCTCAAGACGAACAGGGCAGGCTGCCGAACACAAGCAACGTCCCAACAACCCTTCATCAGCCACCACGCCAGACGAGCAGAACCGTCCCCGGCTCACCACAGCGCGACCATGGTTATCCCCTCCGCGGGGAGAACAACGCGCTCCGGAGTATCTCGCGAGCTCCCCTCCGCGGGGAGAACAACATGCCCGGCGCACGTTCTCCACGTGCTCCCCTCCGCGGGGACACGTCACCAGCCAACTGCCCACCTCCGAAAGAGCAGGTCAAACCCACTTTCCGGAGATCTAGGAGCGGTTGAACTAGGGCGAAGACCACGTCCTGGTCTTCACTACGCCACGTAAGCCCTAGCAGTCATTAGGGTTGGGCCTGGTCATCCAGTTCAGCCCTAATGACCGTTGGCCCAGCGCTGGGGTCTCTCTATAAATACCCTCTTCCTCAAGAGGGTCAGGTAACTCTTCTTGCCCCTTTCTGTACTGTTGCTTCCACTCTGCCCAGCTTCTTACTTTGGCATCGGAGTGTCTTGCAGGTACACCCCCTCCTCCTTCTCACCCCCGGTGAACAGGTAGCCGTCCAGTAGCGCGTGGCCATATCGTGATTCCCTCCTGATCAGGTCAGATCATATATGTTATTATGGTTTTATATGTTTAGTTAGGATTTCTCAATGTTTAGTAAGGGTGTCATTTTGGTTTAAGGATTATCTAGTAATTTTAATATGATTTGTTTTGGTGGATTATCTAGTATTTTTAATATGATTTGTCTTGGTTAATTATTAATATGATTTTAATAAAATTTATATTTTGTCTGCTATAGGGGTTACCTGTGAAGAGCAAAGTTGTGATCGTTTCCAAGCATCCTATTGCGTAGCATTCTTAGAAGTTAGTGATTTCCTTACAGGTATTCTCTGTTTTGTTTAACTTTTATAGTTTAGTGTAGATTACTCAATTAGTATGGATAAAAAATGGATGTCTGGTAATCGATTGTCAAAAGAGTACGAGAATGGGGTATCGAAGTTCGTTAAGTTTGCTGTTGAACACGCCAAAGACCCCAGTAGGATCACATGTCCTTGCTTAGGATGCTGTTATGGGCGTCGAGTTGACGTTGTTCAGTTGGAATCTCATTTAATGAGACATGGAATTGACCGAAGTTACAGATGTTGGACATTACATGGTGAGATAAGTAACGAGAATGTTGAACCCTAGAATAATACGACATGTGCTTCAAAGGACAATGGCAGAGATACATATGATTGTGATCGAGTCGAAGAGATTGCAGAAGCACTTGAAGAAGATCTTCAAGATTGTCCCAAGATGTTTGAGAGGTTGGTAAGCGATGCAGAGAAACCGTTGTATAAAGGTTGCACTACTTTCACAAGATTGTTCGCGGTATTAAAGTTGTACAATTTAAAGGCGGGTAATGGATGGTCGGATAAAAGTTTCACAGAGTTGTTAGCCCTACTTCAAGAGATGCTTCCGGAGGATAATGTTCTTCCCAATCGAACCTATGAAGCTAAAAAAATGTTATGCTCTATTGGCATGAGCTATGATAAGATACATGCTTGTCCAAATGATTGCATTTTGTTTCGAAATGAATATGCATCATTAAACGAGTGTCCTAAATGTGTTGTATCTCGGTATAAGAAAAAATTGTCACCAGCAAAAGTATTATGGTATTTTCCTATAATTTCGAGATTCAGACGCATGTTTCGTAGTGAAACAGATGCAAAACACCTGACTTGGCATGCAAATGATAGAATTGTAGATGGGAAGTATCGACATCCGGCAGATTCACCACAGTGGATGAAAATTGATAATGATTATCCTGATTTTGGAGAAGAAGCTAGAAACCTTCGCTTGGCATTATCGACTGATGGAATGAATCCGCATGGTCTGCAGAGTATCTCACATTCTACCTGGCCTGTAATTATTATGATTTATAACCTACCTCCATGGCTATGTATGAAGCGTAAGTACATGATGTTATCTATGTTAATTTCTGGCCCTAAACAACCAGGGAATGACATAGACGTATAC